CCCCCCCCACACACATGCTAAAATAAATTGCTGTAAAATATAGAACTCATGACAATGCTTGATTTGATATGCTATAAGACTGTATTTTTTTTTTAAAGTATTTGATCCCCATGACCACACCCCCTCTGGCCCGGCCCTTAGGGGTTATATCAAAAATCAGAAAGTGTTGTGCATATCTCCACACATAAATGTACCAGGTCTAAAAGTTTCAAGTTCCTACCTCAAACAGTGTAGAAAAAGTTATGTAAAAATGGTAGTTTCTACTCCTGCTTAAAGCTCAGCAATTTAGGAGTGATACGACTGGTTCGCCCGTTGTCAGTATAATGTGACCGGGTGGGGTGTCCTGCTGGGTGTCTTAGGCAGTATGTTTGAGTGAGGTAGCACTATAAAGTCGGCATCACTTCCGCGCTATCACAAGGACACAAACACGAACATATCACAGCCTCCCAAAACACACGCATACACTACACGCATGCATCGATCTTGCACACAGGGGAGGCTGTCCTTAAATGACCACAGCTGTTGATAGGACGTTAAACAATACTAAACCAAACCAAAACCCCTGGGGGGATCATGTTTTGTACAATCTTGAATCCCCTTCCCCTTAGGATGCTTCCTGCCAAATTTAGTTGAAATCTGCCCAGTAGTTTCAAAAGAACTAGAACTTGCCCAAAAACTTTAACCGATTCCAAAATACTTGTGTTTCGGGCCAATAATGAGCAAATATGGTCCAATTTGTTGCTAAGGAACCTCCTAGCAATTGCTGTAATCATATTACAATGTAAAATTAATTAAAAGTTGAGTTAAACACCAAAACACAGCTTGCCCAAAAACTTAAACCAAGTGGGATGGAGATGGCAACGCCTAGGGTACTGCTATAGCCCCCCTATTCTTCGAATAGAAGAGCTACAATATGATCAGGCTATGTCAAAGTTTGATAAAAAAATAATTTAACACTGAATGGACATTTTGAGTTGTTACATCCACAAAGTAAAATCAGATGGTTTATTGCCTAGAATTATTAATAAGAAACTGATGAAAATGACTATTTCCACTCATTTGATTCTAGCAAAAAGTAACAATACTAATCGAACTGATATGTTTACTGTATCATACATAAAATACAAAACTTAAATTACCTGAACATCTTTGATGTTTGGAAAAGGAATCCCCACCTGTAAATGTAGATTTTATGATCAGAGAATGCCTAGCAATACAATATAATTTCCCTAACTATCTGGAAATCAACTACACCTGTGTTTTACATGTTAACTTGAAACAATACTGAACACATAGTAAAGATTTTTTTTCCAGAATTTTATTAATTTTCCTGATTTTCTAATTAATGTAAGATATTTAAGAGTTAATTGATTAATTGATATTTAAGAGTTAATTGATATTTAAGAGTTAATTGATATTTAAGAGTTAATTGATTTGTGATAGGAATAATGTCAGTTATGGGTCACTTTTCTGTACATGAATAAATGTTTGCAACAATTTTTATTCATAAATGATTCCACTTGACTTAAGGTGGAAATATAAGGTAATTCATATATTTACGAGAAGTTAAGTCATAAATATCTTTCTAAAACAATTCTTGACAAGGCAATCAGAATGTTTTATAACCCTGTGACTTATAATCAACACTTACTGTGATCACTGCTCTGGCATTGTTGTCGGCGAAGTCCATTCCCTCACTCACCTTCCCGCGGCACACAGCTATAAATAGGGCCCCGTCAATGTCTCCTTCTGTAACAAAAAAGAACTAGAGAATTACAGAATTGACCAGGCGGTGAGTGGTGGGGTGTATATAGAGATTTCTGGTGGCCTCCATTCTGTTGGCCAAACAATACACTTAAATTTTGCAAAATTGTTCATTTTAATCCCTCTTAAATTCGTTGAAAAACACAAATATAATTGCATGTTATATAAAATTTGAGCAGTCAATCTTATTGAAAGTTTCTAGAGTCATGTGACACTTTTATTGGCAGATTTTCCAATGATTAAAATGATATTTTTTTGTTGTAAAAAGAACACTATTTGCTATTGTACCTGAAGGAAGTGAAAGAAGGGGGGATATTAATACAATGTACCTGAAATTAAGCTTTTATAAAAGATGCCTTACTGGTCACATTCCCACTTTGAGGTTAGAAGTCTAAAATGTTTCCCAATATACCCAGTACATGTATTATAAAATGTGAGTTTTGACATAAACTAGCAATGATTTTTATTACTTTAATCACAATATAATCATTTAAGATGTATAAACTTTGACACATAAAAATCAGTTGAAAGTGTCAAGTCTCTTTTTTTTGTCAGTGAATGTAATCTGGCATAAATTTTCTTTCCAAAAACATATACATATTAACTTAACTGGTTGCTAGGGAATTAAAGCCATTTTTAATAGTCCGGCCTGCTACCTTACCATTCTCATCTTGGCAGCATTCAATTGTGTTGTAGAAGTCCTTCATCAAAAACTCAAAATCAACTTTGTCCGAGGAGCGAGGTTCAGTCATTATTTTCTTTTTGCTTTCAATTTTTGCCCAGACACCAGTATTCTGTAATTAAAGTGTTTTTTAATATTATGTCAAAGCTGTCATTCATCTTTTAAATAGTAACCCTTTGGTTATCATCTGGGCCCTGTATAGTTAACCCTTTGGTTATCATCTGGGCCCTGTATAGTTAACCCTTTGGATATCATCTGGACCCTGTATAGTTAACCCTTTGGTTATGGGCCCTGTATAGTTAACCCTTTGGTTATCATCTGGGCCCTGTATAGTTAACCCTTACATTATCATCTGGACCCTGTATAGTTAACCCTTTGGTTATCATCTGGACCCTGTATAGTTAACCCTTTGATTATCATCTGGGCCCTGTAGAGTTAACCCTTCGGTTATCATCTGGGCCCTGCATAGTTAACCCTTTGGTTATGGGCCCTGTAGAGTTAACCCTTTGGTTATCATCTGGACCCTGTATAGTTAACCCTTTTATTATCATCTGGGCCCTGTAGAGTTAACACTTTGGTTATCATCTGGGCCCTGTATAGTTAACCCTTTGGATATCATCTGGGCCCTGTATAGTTAACCCTTACATTATCATCTGGACCCTGTATAGTTAACCCTTTGATTATCATCTGGGCCCTGTAGAGTTAACACTTCGGTTATCATCTGGGCCCTGTATAGTTAACCCTTTGGTTATGGGCCCTGTAGAGTTAACCCTTTGGTTATCATCTGGGCCCTGTATAGTTAACCCTTTGATTATCATCTGGGCCCTGTAGAGTTTAACGCCTGATTAAAGAGTAGCTAGCGCAAATGTTCAAAATATAATATTTGAGACACATCAGGAATTTGAAAATAGTTTTGTGTTTCTTCTGACAGTTGCTTTTAATCTCTGTACAATTAGTTTCAAATTTAAATCAAATTAAATATATACTATAATTATCTAAGTTTTATGTTAATTTGTCATTAAGCTAAGCCAGACTTAAACAACTGGACTTGTATGCTAACAATTGAAGATCTGTAACTTACAGATACATGTAATTAGTCATTAATGTCCTTTGATGTGTTACTGTCCTTCCTATTAAGAATGTTTTACATTTTTATAATGCTGTTATTGACACTCCTACAAATTAGTTGTTCAATATTTTTTATATAGACCTAGAGGCTTTAAGCCTTCATCCATTATTATTAAATTAAATTAAATTTTGCATAACAATGGTTCAAATACACACCCTCCACCTCTCCGAGAACTTCTCCAGTGCTTTGTATGAGGGCAGGAAGACCAGAACTCCATATGGCACTTTCTGTAAATACAAAAAAACTGTTTATTATTTCCAACCGATGTGTTAAAAAATGGCAACTAAAGCTTGGACTTAAGCAATATACTTACTGCTTACTACACAATGTATTGATTTGCAGTGAGTAATACCAGTTTAATGACTATCGTTGTAAAACTGCTATTTAATGTCCTTCTTTGTAAGAATTGTAATTGTAATGTTATTGAAGTAGTGACCAGGCCACTGGAAGTCTAGTGATAAAGTATTAAGATATAATACACTGATAGATATTACAAACTCTAATATCAGTATTGTCAACTGGCAATGTCGTCACTTAATACCCATTTTTATAGTCATATCACACTAAAATATAGTAGTCAGTGGTGACAGTATGGCCTATCAGACAACAATGAGCACCTGCAGTACCTTAGGAATCTGTTGGTTTCCATAACGATAGTGTGATTTACCTAAGAGACTTTGTACACCAGTTCTTTAGGGATCTGTTGATTTCCATGATGATAGTGTAACTTACCTAGGTGCCCTTGCACAACAGTTCCTTAGGGATCGGTTGATTTCCATGGTGACAGTATCACCTATATGTACCTGACAGACCTTAGAACATGAGTTCCCTAATTGGGAGGTGTTGGTTTCCATGGTGATGGTATGACCTACCTGACAGACCTTAGAACATCAGTTCCCTAGGGAGATGTTGGTTTCCAAGATGACAGTATGACCTACCAGACAGACCTTAGAACATCAGTTCCCTTGGGAGGTGTTGGTTTCCATGGTGACAGTATCACCTACCTGACAGACCTTACAACATCAGTTCCCTAGGGAGGTGTTGGTTTCCATGGTGACAGTATGACCTACCTGACAGACCTTAGAACAATAGTTCCCTTGGAAGGTGTTGGTTTCCATGGTGACGGTATGACCTACCTGACAGACCTTACAACATCAGTTCCCTTGGGAGGTGTCGGTTTCCATGGTGACAGTATGACCTACCTGACAGACCTTAGAACATTAGTTCCCTTGGGAGGTATTGGTTTCCATGGTGACGGTATGACCTACCTGATAGACCTTAAAACATCAGTTCCCTTGGGAGGTGTTGGTTTCCATGGTGACAGTATGACCTACCTGACAAACCTTGAGCACCAGTTCACCAAGTTCGTCCTGGAAATTGAAAGTTTCCATTGTTTTGTAGACGGCCTGTAGGGATCCCCCCTTCGGCCCATGGCCAATAGCTCCTACCCAAATCTGGAAATCGAGCAACAGTAAAAGGGTTCAAAATCAGTTCAGTCAAATGTGGCTTTGAAATGTAATCCTCTTCAAGTATCAGTCTTTCTGTTTCCATTTGAAAAAGGGATATACCAGCCTCCTTCACTAGAACAGTGAAACATCTGGTATAGTTATTATATTTAAATCATAATACATGGTTCTACTGACATTTCTTACCAAGGAAAATGTTTGTTAAAAATAGCCAAATAAGATATCATGCACTTTCAAAACGGACCTTTGTCAACACCATAAGGACACCCTTTACATAGAGAAATCTACAAGTTTGATAGATATATGCATGTTTCATTTTCAAAATGAACATCACAGATCCTCTCAAATCAAAATGACTGTAACATCAAACATTGTTACAATCTGTTCATACAGCGAGAAGGTTATACATTTTACATTGTTATACCTTTACTTTTTATTCTCTATACTCTTCTATAGTGAAAAAAGTTCGAAATTCCAGATGTTTGCCTCACAAAAATGTTGACCGGTCAACATCGAAATGTTGACTGGCTTTGAGTGAAATGTTGACAGCTCATTACTATTGGGTACTTCTCGGCCATTACTCGGCAACTTCCGCCGTTAAGCAATTACCAATAGTGGCATCCCTATAGGAAGTATTGCTCACGTCTGCAATGTTTATGTATGTAGGCTGCCTTATGTACAATCATGGACAGATTTATGGAATACACTGCTGCAGAAATTGATGAAATTCTTGATAAAAGAGACAGTACAAACACCAAGAATGTGATCAGAGTTGCAGAGAAATTAATAACAGAGTATATTGAAGCGAAGCACAATGCATTACCATGGGATTTTTTCAAGATAAAACCAAATTGGATGCGTCAGAAATTTGAAAAGTTTTCGGTCAACATGTGTTGTGTTGAACCCTCGGACCAAACTGTTGCCTTCGGCCTTGGGCAACAGTTTGGTCCTCTGGTTTAACATAACACATGTTGTCCTAAAACCCAGTCAACAAATGTATAATGTTACCCTTTGTTTATACTGTGAGGTTATACAATGCTACCCTCTATTTATACTGTCAGGTACAATGTTACCCTCTGTTTATACTGTGAGGTTATACAATGTTACCCTCTGTTTGTACTTTGAGGTTATACAATGTTACCCTCTGTTTATACTGTGAAGCTATACATTGTTACCCTGTTTATACTGTGAAGCTATACAATGTTACCCTTTGTTTATACTGTTAAGTTATACAATGTTACCCTCTGTTTATACTGTGAGATACAATGTTACCCTCTGTTTATACTGTTAAGTTATATGATGTTACCCTCTGTTTATACTGTGAAGCCATACAATGTTACCCTTTGTTTATACTGTTAGGTTATACAATGTTACCCTCTGTTTATACTGTTAAGTTATACAATGTTACCCTCTGTTTATACTGTGAAGCTATACAATGTTACCCTCTGTTGATACTGTGATGTTCAATGTTACCCTCTGTTTATACTGTTAAGCTATATGATGTTACCCTATGTTTATACTGTTAAGCTATACAATGTTACCCTCTGTTTATACTGTGAAGCTATATAATGTTACCCTCTGTTTATACTGTGAAGCTATACAATGTTACCCTCTGTTTATACTGTGAGGTTATAAAATGTTACCCTCTGTTTATACTGTGAGATACAATGTTACCCTCTGTTTATAATGTTAAGTTATACAATGTTACCCTCTTTTTATACTGTTAAGTTATACAATGTTTCCCTCTGTTTATACTGTGAAGCTATATAATGTTACCGTCTGTTTATACTGTGAAGCTATATAATGTTACCGTCTGTTTATACTGTGAAGCTATACATTGTTACCCTCTGTTTATACTGTGAGGTTATATGATGTTACCCTCTGTTTATACTGTGAGGTTATATGATGTTACCCTCTGTTTATACTGTGAGGTTATACAATGTTACCCTCTGTTTATACTGTTAAGTTATACAATGTTACCCTCTGTTTATACTGTGAGGTACAATGTTACCTCTGTTTATACTGTGAAGCTATACAATGTTACCCTCTACCTGTTTATCCTCTATGACGTGGTTTGCCTCCAGCTTTATCGGGAATGGTGCGCCCAACTCAGACTCAAAGGAGGACATTGGAGACAGCGTTCCACTAGTTAAAACAATGCTCCTAGCATCATTGAAATCAGAGAATGCCTGAAATGATAGAATACGTCAAGTCATACACTAATTAATCAACATAAAAAAAAAGTATTTATATTTTTTTTTTATTCAAACCAAACTTTAAATAAAGAACATGTATTCAAAAGACATTCTGTCCACTAATTCTGCAATCATTAAGAAATTCATATATTGGTCCACATTATTCATGTCAATATGTGCATAAAAATATAATGTAGGTTTATATACAAACAAAATGGATTATTGTAGTTGCAAAAGCATTAATCTACATGGGTATACAAGTTTGTAACAAGAGGCCCAGAGGGCCTGTATCGCTCACCTGGATACCAAAGCAATCATGGCAAAATACTCTCCGAATGAGATCAAGGGAATATGCCAGACCCCAAGGCCAATCCTTGTAGCATATCTGTATTAGATTCTTCATGCCCAGCAATTTTATGTATGGTTATGGGGTGGGGATCTCAACTGTTTCCAAGCTTTGACTCGGAAATTAGGTCCCTGGGGTTGTGGCCAGACCCCAGGATCCATTCTAATACCATGACTGCATTCGTCTCTTTATGCCAAACAATTGTATATATAGTTTTGGGGTGGGGATCTTAACCGTTTCAAAGTTATGACCCAGGGGTTAAGTCTCCAAGGGTGGGGCCAGACCCTAGTGCCATCCTGGAGGCAAATGTGCATTCCTCTCTTTATACTTAGCAATTGTATATATGGTTATATAGTGGGGATCTCAACCATTTCAAAGTAATACATTTTTTTTAGCCCCACCCCTTAGCCCAGGGGACCAGCCACACCATTTGTACAATTTTGAATCCCTGCCTCCCATGAATGTTTCTGACCAAATATGATCAATATCCATGGTATAGTTCTACGGAAGAAGTCGTTTACAGCAATATAGCCAAATTGCCCCCTTTTTCGCCCCGCCCTCAGCCCCCTGGGGGGGGGGTCAGCCCTACCATTTGCACAATTTTGAATTCCCACCACCTAGGGATGCTTCCAGTCAAATTTAGCTGAATTCCAATCAGCGGTTTAGAAGAAGAAGTCGTTAAAAGAAATTGTTGAAGGACGGACGCAACGGTATGGCATAAGCTCACCTTGGTCCTTTGGACCAGGTGAGCTAATAATGATTGAAATCAATTATTGGTTGCCATTTTTATCACCATGGTTATAATTTTTTCAATATTTTCAATATTTCAAATCACTAAACTATCTGAATCTGCACAGATTTTATATGGCCAGTTGAGTTAACAAGAAACACACTTATTTTGTTAGGCCTTACTACGCCAGGGTTCATGCACCAGAAGTTGAGACTGTTGACAGATACTTATTTTGTTAGGCCTTACCACTCCAGGGTTCATGCACCAGAAGTTGAGACTGTTGACATATACTTATTTTGTTAGGCCTTACCACGCCAGGGTTCATGCACCAGAAGTTGAGACTGATGACAGATACTTATTTTGTTAGGCCTTACCACTCCAGGGTTCATGCACCAGAAGTTGAGACTGTTGACAGATACTTATTTTGTTAGGCCTTTCCACGCCAGGGTTCATGCACCAGAAGTTGAGACTGTTGACAGATACCGGCACTGCCCGCATACCTAACAAGGAAACAAACCGTAATCATCAGCAATGTCTCTGTATTTAATGATTACATGGTATTAAATTTAACCAGTTATATTGTATCAAACTTGATCACTACATAACATCAAAATTAACCAATACACTGTTTCAAACTTTACTGAATAAACTGTATAAGCTTAATAACTACTTTTTATCAAACATAACATAAATTTAAACTATTTTAAACTTTCCCCCAGTGTTTTGTATCAGTGACAAGTTTTGGAATCAATTGAAAATTAGAAAATCCCTGGCCTCAAAAAAAATCAAGAGGCAACAAAAGCATGTATCGCTCACCTGGATATTAATGTAATAAAATAGCAAAATATTCTCATCAATATAAATTTTACAAATAAGTCCACGTTTTAGGCTATGCCTATCAATACCAAGGGAGACAACACCCTTCCTTTATATAACATTTGGTTTCCTGGTCTCATGTCACTTGAATACAAACCCTTTGGTTGAAATACAAACAAATGGGCCAGCGGAATACATATTTAAAACCCAATTTCCCTTTTGAGCATTGCTTTTTAGCTCTTCCTTTTTCAACAACTAAATCAAATTTTACTCAAAATCCACCACAAAGCCATTCTGGACCAGAAGTGTTTTCGAAGAAAAGTTAATGGCAAATAACGGACATATCGTCACATGGATGATACGCCACAGCACAGTTTTAAATGGTCCTTCCAGCCAGGTGAGGTAAAAGTTCTACAAAATGTTTATGTCTGCATCTGAATTCATGGTAAGTAAAGTTTTTAAGAATGGTTTTTAAGTGTTGTTGAAGATGGCCACTTTATACCAAACTCACCTCTGCGTTTCTTGGAGTTGAGCCAGCTATTGTCCTGTGATATCATAATAAACCAATGATAAGTACACAGTTAAGGGTAAGAATAAGTGAAAAGTCTGTGGGTTTGAATCCAGTTCACACATTAAGTTTATCTTTAATATTACAAACAATACATAAAACTACAAACAAACAAATATTAACAGATTTGCGTAATTTTCAAGTTTTCTCTAATTTGGAACTATGAATTGATTTCTTGTTATATTAAGGATTGGAAACAGTAAACTTGAGTGTTTATTTTTACTTACCGTGTCCCTGTTGGACGTATAGGAGGTCGTCTTCACAATAGCCACCCTACAATAACAAAGATATCATAATACATGATATGTATTTGTGACTGTGATAGTAAAGTGACAAAGACTAATTTCATACTATGATACTAATATAAATCATCTGCTGTAGCCTAGTGTCATTTGTAATATAAATATCCAGTTCCTGTTACCAGGCAAACCTGTAGTCAGGTACTAAATTACCTGTACATGTACTAATGAATACAATCTACCTGTAACATACATGTGGTACAACATACCTGTAGTCCGGTACAAACTTAAGATCGTCCCTGTACAGGTAATCCAACACCTTGTGGATGGCCTCCAGTGTGCTGAGTACAGGTTTACTCAGCTTCACTTCCTGTCCGTGACTGTTCCACACCTTCGTTTCATCCTCAGTCTCCTTGACCTTTGTGTACGATTTCTTAAACACACAGAGAACAGCATGTTGTAAGATATAGTTTTCTACATCTAATCTTCAGCATTAATGGATGTAATTATTATTCTGAAGTCCATTAAATATTGTACAATGTAAATGTATCATACTACCACACTACCCATTGAACAGTAGAATTTAGACTTGTTAGAATGTTGCTAGTACCTTTAGCTCATTTCAACCTTTCCCAGCGATATTTGCAAAGATTATCTTTCATTGTTTTCAAACACGTAGGCCAGAAAGCTTTATTACTACCGGGTCAAGACCAGATACTCTGATGTACCAGTTGTTCTTAATAGCATTGTAACAAAAAATTGATATTGGCAGATATCTGTGCTTGAGTTATTTAATGATAGATCAAATAGTTTTCCATTTTTTTATGATCAACATTCACCAAACCAATCCACTTCAATATTGTTTAAAATACCAATGAAAACGATATATATCACCATAAGTGGGTCTGAAACAGTGTATTTTATCATTAACGGGGTCCTAAATAGTGTATTTTATCTTTATCGCGGACCGAAACAGTGTATTTTATTTTTAATGGGGTCCAAAACAGTGTACTTTATCTTTAATGGGGTCCGAAACAGTGTATTTTATCTTTAACAGGGTCCGAATCAGTGGATTTTCTCTTTAAAGCGGTCCGAAACAGAGTATTTCATGCTTTATTCCAAGGAAATGTAACTATTTTAGTGCTTAGAACACGAAAAACCTGATGCTGAGTACTACAGCTGGTCCATCTTACATTAATGTTTCTTGATTTTAATAAGACAGCATTTTCATTCCCATAAAATGTTCACAAAAGTTGGTGAAATTGCAAACATAATAATAATAATAATAATATACAGCATTTGCTATTATTTGAGGTTCTTATATACTGCTTTATCACATCCTAGTTCGTAGGTCATCTCAAAGCGGTTTACAAATTGTTATCCGTGGTTATAGGGCCTTTGCAACCAGCCAATTTCTTTCCCAACTCCCTGGGGAGCATACAGCTGGTGCTGCCATTTTGGCGCTCACAGCTAGCATTCTACAATTCCAAAACAGCCCAACCACATACTCATTTACAGCTGAGTAAACTGGAACAAGCAGAGTAAAGCATCATGCTCAAAGATACAACACAGTGCTGTGCCGTGACTCGAACCCGCAACCCTTCTGTCACGAGCCCAGCGTCCTACCACTAGACTACCATGCCTCCGATATAGCGCCCTATCTAGCTAACATAAGCCACTCTAAAGCGTTTAATTACAGTACATAGATATAACAATGTATACAATTAGCATATATATTAATCAATACAAACAGTGAACTATTCAAATGATAAATATTTTAGGTTTAATATCCATCAAAATTTTAATCAAATTTTATCACATTGTTAGCGCTAGTTAGCCCATTTACAATCTTACCTGAATCAATAGCAATGGCTAGCTATAGCCTTGTACAACCTAATCCAGAAACATTCAACATTACATAGAGGTTCTCTAACGAGTGATGGTTGGTTATCTTGTTTATCTAACTTGAGTTAGTTGAGTTCAAATTGTATAAAGACACCAGGTTAACCAAGTGTCTTTGACAATTTGAAAGCTTAATAACAAGAGTTAGATACACATGATAACCAACCATCGCACTGGAAGATGACATCACCAATCATTGTTACGTGACGTTAGGATTCAAAGGTTGACCAACAAAATCACGTCCAGAATGTTTACCAACTACATGTACTAGCAAGTTTATCTTACGAGTCAGGAGTGTGAAAACCTATAGTGGAACTATTCCAGCTGTGTCATCAGCACTAGCTAGCCTCCTAAACCTACACAAATTCAACTGTATAATTAATCTAATTTAGTGAATTACTTTGATATCAGGAAAGTGTTTTGGCCCTATCCCGAGCTGGTCCATGCGAGCTATGATGTCGTATCCAGACCAGCACCTATAAGCCTGGTCGTAGGATTGCTGCTGCAAACTCGCCTCGTTGTCTTCCATAAACTTGATCAGGCCATGACACTGTAATAAAGAACATACATTGTCCTTTATAAACTTGATCAGAGCACAACACTGTAACACAGAACTTGTTGTCCTCTTTAACCGTGAACAGACTGTTCACTATAACACAGATAATACTTGCAGACAGGTACACTTCAGCATAGATCATGTTTATAAAGTTAATTAAACTGTCAAAATAATGTTGAATTAAAAACAACTTGCATTTGTCAATTTGGAATTACCTTTGCTTCTGCATTATATTGGTATCTTATTACAAAACCAGTTCGAAAGCATTGCCTTATTTATGACTTTCAAAGATGTTATTTTCTATAAATATTATGGTCAATATGAAACAATTTATAGTATAGTTATAGTATATACTATTTGACAAGACTATCTGTAAACACATCCTTGTACTAACCATCTGTCTGATCCTCAGGCAGTCTGGTGTCTTCATATTATTGGCAACTGAACAAAAAGAAAAAAACACTTCAACTTTCAGCAGTGAACAAATTCCATTTGCCAATGCTGTGTTATATATTCCTTTTGCTCAAGTCTTCAGTGCAATATCTAACTCAGTTCTCTTGATCTTGCTTTTATAAGAGATGATACCTATTATGTCAATTATTATGAGAGGCATTATGTCAATGAAGCCACTGTCACACTCACTCATTTCATCCAGTTCCTTTATAGCCTTCTCCAGTTCGTCACACTTGAGAGTCTGACTGGCAGCCTCCCGCGCGGCGTCCTCCATGTTGTGAGCCTCGTCCAGTATGATGATCTGATCCTTTACATTGATCTCCAGCTGTACACATTAAAGTTACGTCAGATATCATAGTTTACATAGCTTAAGTTGATAAAGATGTATCTCCAGCTGTACACATTAAAGTTACGTCAGGTATCATAGGTACGTAGCTCAAGTTAATAAGGATGTATCTACATCTGTACATTTTAAAGTATATTGGTAGTTACCTAAGCTTTATATATCTCCATCATAGTATTGTTTACTTAACCATATATAATCAATTCAAATATTTCTCCATTTCTTTATATCAAAGTATACGTAATCGAAAGATAATCCTTAAATTTCTCGTGCTATTTACTAACTTGTAGACCTCTGAATACATAAGAAATAAAGAAATATTTGAGTACTTTTTAAGGACCTCTAAAGGGGAAACATGAAAATATTTGTATTTTACAATGTCATCCAAAAAACAAGAAACAGGTTTTTATTTTATTTTTTGCTTTGTAATTTTATAAAGTATAAAGTAAATGTATTTTTTTCCAGACAAATTGTGTTAACTAAGCTATATTATTTATATTCATATATGACAGGTATCTCAAGCTTGACAATATTATCAAAGGTTGTTTACAGTAAAATCTGTATTGAAACAATGCACAAACAAATCTTAACCCTTTCACCCCTATGTAACTTTAGTAGACTCTACAATACATTGATATGGATGAGTCGATTATGGTCTACAGTGGTGAAAGGGTTAACATTATTATGAATTTCTTAGAATAAACAAATGCGTTTCCAGTAAAAAGAACAAAACAAAATTTCAGTGGAAGCTCTGGCTGGTAGTGTGCTGAATTGATATCTGCAGTTAGCTCCCTTCCACTGAAAATAGTTCCATCGTTCAGGATAGGACAATAGATATGATGGTGTTTCAATTATAACTTATTTTTCTAAACCTACTTTGTAGCTGAAAATTTGCATAAATGTAAAAAGAAAATAGATGACAAATCTTTATATTTTTCAAAATCTTTATATTTATTTATATCTTTATATTTATCTATATAAATAAATCTTTATATTTATCAAATGAATGCTGTAAGTCCATGGACACATTTACATTTTTCTCTATGCAAGGATTTCGATGTGTATGTCCGAGATAGTTTTGGTTACTACTTACAGCCTCCCTGATGAGGGGGTCTATCAGGTAATTGTAGGGGGAAAAGATGATATCTGCATCCTTCTTCAGACTCCTTGTACCATAGTATGGACATGCCTGCAAAGCAAACAGCAAGCAACTCATCAATTATTTTTCTTCAAAATTTTAAGTTAAGGATTTTTAATTTTGTTTGAATATATGTCTATGTCTGAGCAAAAACCTTGGAAGCATTACCTAAATCTCTCTTTTTGTTCTTAAATTTCTTTCCATAAAGTACACACTTGTATAACAGCATTGATTTTGAAACCTTACAAATTTCTGATATTGTTGATTTCTGTATGTATAAACTAGTATATCAATTGAACTATACGTTTTCCTGTCTATAAAAGGACAGTCTCTTACCGTTTTTGCCTGGCCCACACCAATGATGTCCTCGAGATCCCAGGCCTGTGTCAGTCCTAAGTCTTTGATCTGACTCTGGCAGAAGAACACCTTCTTTACTCGGTCATTGAACTTACAGCCTGGACCCTGTAAGAGGAATTTTCATCACAAACTATAAAATGTCGGTTAGACAAATATGTCCTCACTCCCATGCAAATTAGTGGCATTTTTAGACAAATTTATTTAAACAGAAACAGCGACCCTGAACTTGTCCATGAGTTCCTGAAACACAAACTCATTTGAAGCATTCTCATCCTTGACCTTTGCATAAAGTTTGATCAAAATCTGTTCACAGATGAAGCTACTGGAGTGATGTCACTTAACTGTTTGACAATTCTATATGAATAGAGACCTTGACCTTAAAACCCCGACACAAACTTATTCCCATACTTGACCTTTGTACAAGTCTAATAAAAATTTGTTAAGAAATGCAGTCACTAGCGCAGTGAATCAGGACAGGATGGACAAGGTAAGCACCACATGGACAAGGGTAGCACCACATGGACAAGGGTAGCACCACATGGACAAGGTAAGCACCACATGGACAAGGGTAGCACCACATGCACTCCATAAAACAGCAGGGGGAAAAATAAATGTTATGGCAACAAATAGGAGTTATATCACAATACATAAACATTTACTGTCAACTACTGAAGAAGTGATGATATGTTGCTCTTTGTGCTACCATTATATGTGAATATCATTTCTTTATTTTCAGTCTAACATCAAATAGTGTTTAAATTTTGACGCAACAATTTCGAGACTTCCCTTTAAAGTGGGAGTTTATTCTTGTTGATATTGGAAAGCCATGAACATTTCTATTGTGTCTTGAACACACATGTTACTGGATTTACAGCAATTTCTTCCTCATCAGCAACATCAAATGACATGGTTGTGGTATACACCATTAAGCTGTACAAAAGGGTGATCTGGATCAAACAAGTTCATCTTTAAATGATAATTTTTCACTGTATTTATCATTGACTTTGCAGGTTAAAGGAGACCGTGATCCTCTTTTATTAACTCATTCAACCCTAAAGACACATTTGAGCTCTTCCAATTCAAAGGTTGGAAAAGTTCATTATGAAATTTCAGGGGTGAATGGGTAAAGTTATCCGAGTCTTACGTCCAGTAGTTCCTTACAGCCCTCGTTCTTCCCCTTCATCTTTGACACAGACGGGTGGATACAGGTATGTTCTCTACTGCCAAGTATGGTCATTCTGTAAGGCAACAATCACACATACACATCCATATGGACACCCATTCAAAGATACAGTTGTCAGAATAATTGATAAGTATTCTATAAATAGTAACAAGAGGCCCAGAGGGCCTGTATCGCTAACCTGGATATCTAAGCAATCGGGGAAAATATTCTCCAAATGAGATCCAAAGGAATATGCCAGACCCCAAGGCCAATCCTTGTAGCATATCTGTATAAGATTTTTCATACCAAGCAATTTCATGTATGGTTATGGGATTGGGATCTCAACTGTTTCCAAGCTGCGACTCCGAAACTAGGTCCCTAGGGTTGTGACCAGACCCCAGGTTCAATTCTAATATCATGACTGCATTTGTCTCTTTTTGCCCAGCATTTGTATATATAGTTTTGGGTTTGGAATCTCAACTGTTTTAAAGTTATGACCCAGGGACTATGTCTCCAAGGGTGGGGCCAGACTCTAGGGCCATCCTGGAAGCAAATGTGCATTCTTCTCTTTATACTCAGCAANGGGGGGGGGGGGGGTGTCAGCCCCACCATTTGTACAACTTTGAATCCCTGCCTCCCATGAATGTTTCCGACCAAACATGATCAATATCCATGGCACAGTTCTACAGAAGAAGTTGTTTATAGCAATGTAGCCAAATTGCCCCCTTTTGGCCCCGCCTCTCAGCCCCCTGGGGGGGTCAGCCACATCATTTGTACAATTTTGAATCCCCACCACCTAAGGATGCTTCCAGTCAAATATGGTTGATAGCCATCTCTTAGTTCCAGAGAAGAAGTCGCTTAAAGCAATATAGCCAAATGCCCTCTGTTGGCCCCGCCCCTCAGCCCCACCATTTGTACAATTTTGAATCCCCACTACCTAGGGATGCTTCCAGTCAAATATGGTTGATATTCATCTCTTAGTTCCAGAGAAGAAGATTCTTAAAGCAACATAGCCAAATTGCCCCCTTTTTGCCCCGCCCCTCAGCCCCACTATTTGTACAATTTTGAATCTCCACCACCTAGGGATGCATCGAGTCAAATTTAGTTAAATTCCAATCAGTGGTTAAGAAGAAGTCGTTTAAAGAAATTGTTGACGGACGGACGACACGGTACTTCGGACCCGGTGAGCTAACAATGACACTGACCTGCATTGTACCACCCTAAACTTTCACGAAAATGTCAATAGCAATAACAAAACTTTAATGTTTTATGAAATTTGTAAGTGACATAAAACTTGTACAGCCCAGCACTGAAGCAGAAACATGTTCAAGGTGATCAAGTCTTACCTAACACTTGTAAAAAGTGACATCAAAATCAAGCAAGAAATATCAAAATTTGTTAAGAAGGAAAGTTGCTGAGCAATGAGAACAGGAAAAAATCGTGTAAATAAATATACAACGTTTTACTGTGTAAATATGTACAATGTTTAACTGTGTAAATATGTACAATGTTTTACTGTGTAAATATGTACAATGTTTTACTGTGTAAATATGTACAATGTTTCCTTGGTGTATATACACTGTATATACAAAATGTACAATATTTGATTGGTTCATACATATACACATTGTTTAATTTGTGTAAATGTAATGGTGTGTGTAGTGTACATGCCATGCCTCGGTGGTGCACACAGTCCTTACTTTGCCTCCCTGTAGGCCGTCTTGCGTAGTTCACGTACAATCTGTGTTATCTGTTTGTGGGTCCTGGTTCCAAAGTAAATCTTGGGCACACTATAAAAAACAAAATTAAATCCATGTAAAGCAATTTGTGTCCTAGCTGTTAAAAACTATTTTAGACATTTCAACAGATTGGATGGTCTTTCATCGCAATATCAATTTACCTTACTCAGTTTGTAAGTATTGAAATTATGAAAGCATCAGATTTTTTTCTGTGTGTTTTGGGGGTTCACTCTCTGCCTTCACTTTGGATAGACAGGATATTGAAGAATATCAATATTCTTTCATTCTTTCCCCCTTTCTTTCTATGAAGTATGTACAATGATTTCCTCAGTCTTTCTTTTGATACCGTAAAAACCCATGTAATTTGCGCACCTATGTAATTTGCACAGGTACTTTTTGAGGATGAAACTCCCAAAAAAAACTTCTACTCAAATATTTTGCACACCAATTTGTTTTTGAAAAATAAATAAATCAAGTTCCGAAAATCGATCTCTGAAAAGTGAGAAGGGCTCATCATGGCGGCCTGGGTATCGTCACTTCATACCAGGTCATGTCACAGTTCAGTTTGGCGAAATGTTTTGGCCACACAATTTTTACCTACTGTAAAATTATTACAAGAGATCCCAGAGGGATCTTGGCGCCCACCTTTGTACCATCTTCATTAGTTCTTTGTCAGTTCGATCTTTTCTCTTCTTTCCTCTAATCTGTTTGATCGAGTCATGTTAACAGTAAATGCACCTTGAGGTAACTTTTGATCTAAACTTAATACTGATGTGTATGAAAGCCAACCTTCAAAGTGAGTTTGTCATTTCACATATTTACTAGTACAGTACTTAATGTGAAAGAAATAGAATCGATCATTGCAATATGAGAAAGATCTGTTTAGTTCTTCTTTTAATCCATTTTGTTTTTATGATCAGTCTCAAAATATAACATACACAACGAGGGATCAAGGGGAACCTACATTTAAAATTTGAGAAAGATCCCTCCCGTACTTCCCGAGAAATAGCAAAACAAACTTTCACTATCAAAATCCAAGATGGCTGCCTGTCGGCCATGTTGTTTATCCGATCAGTCTCTAAAATTGCCCTGCACAGCTAGGACCAAGGGGAACCTACATATAAAATTTAAGAAATATCCCTCTAGTTCTTCCGGAGAAATAGAGGTAACAAACCTACACTATCAAAATCCAAGATGGCTGCCTGTCGGCCATGTTGTTTATCCGATCAATCTCAAAAGTTGCCCTGCACAGCTAAGGACCAAGGGAAACCTACATATAAAATTTGAGAAAGATCCCTTTGATACTTCCCGAGAAATAGCAATAACAAACTTTCAATATCAAAATCAAAGATGGCTGCCTGTCGGCCATGTTGTTTATCTGATCAGTCTCAAAAAAAAGCCCTGCACAGCAAAGGACCAAGGGGAACCTACATATAAAATTTGAGCAAGATCCCTCAGGTACTTCTTGAGAAATACCGATAACAAGAATTGTTTAAGGACGGACCACGGACCACGGACGCAGGGTGATTTGAATAGCCTAAAAATCTGAAGAAACTACCGCAAGTTATGGGTTATTGTTCAGAAATGATTTCGTTATGTTACGTTATGCAATAGCGATGCCGTAGAAAAAAAACCCAATGCCTCATTACATTTTTAGGCGGAGGGACGGGGAACATTAAAGGGAAAATCGTGAAAATTTTGAGCCATGAAAAAAATGGCTATACTATGTGTGGTACATCTCACCTGTAAAATGTCTCAGGATAAACTATTGACACAACCGAGAAAGCGGTAATATGTCTAGCTAACTCAATCAGGCATGAAACACCGGAAAACATTTTGTTTAATTACTCCAGTTAGAAATGTCTACATATATTTGCCATTTTTTTGGTAAAAAGATTATACCCTATATAAATATTTATTTGATCAATGATGCATAAAGTCCGGAGTTACAACACTGATTATGACAGGAGATATTTTTATGTAAAACATAGGACAATCTCTTCACTACAAAAACCAATATATGATATTCACATCTAAATCTTTTCCTGATAATCATACAAAAATATTCCTAATTTTCATTATTTCTAAGCTAGATGTAACCAAATTCTCCATAATTGTGATAACATCATACAACAGATAAAACACAACACAGGCCTCTCCTGAAGCATAAGAGCAGTGGTGACAGCCAGCATCATCTCTAGCCGCAATGCTCACAATTATCATTGGCCATCTTAATTCCTGCTAATATCTGTGATGGAAAAGCAAGCCCCTACGACAAGCTGTCCAACAATTTATAGAGAGGCTGTAGGTGATCACTTAACTCCTGTTAATGGACCGTCACCGAGTTTGTCTAATGTTTGGACAGCGCCATTATCATAGAGCAGGTCAACCAGTTATTGTAAAAACCAATCAAAGAGAAGTATATGTCACAACTTGATAATGTACCCACAGTGTTCCTGATCGCCTAATTGTCATATACAGTTAGGTGTTAGCTGTAAAAACTAAGTCATAAGTTATTAGTAAATAAGTATTGTCTATCAATATCTGTTATATGTTAGTAAGTGTTATAAGTCAACAAGCAGTCAATAAGTGTTGCTGGTAGTGATGGGCTGATGACTGATTATAACCAATATAATCGGTTCATTATTGAAATCAAAGTGTCAAATGTATACAATGTGAATTAAGTATGCATTGAAAGTCATTTCTTTTTATCATTTTTACTATATGATTGACAAAACTACATAAAGTTGTGTGAAATCCATTCATTATATAAAAGAAGCAATTATGGATTTTGATTTTAAACTGATTGCCCATCACTAGTTTTAGGTTTCATTAAAAACCTATCTGATATTGTAACTAAAGGGCCATAACTCTGTTATATACTACATGCATGCATATTTAGTCATATAATAGACAAGGTATGTTGTGAGAGAATAAAAAGGTCTAAATCTGATTTGGAACGAGTCTGAAATTTGGCTACCAATATATGGACAGGAAAAGTCAAGGAACTGAAATTAGGTGTTTTGAGGGTTGCCTCATCTAACTTCAGGTATTGAAATCTGAGTGAGCCTGTTCAATCTTTTTGTCTCAGCAATAGTTGGAAATTATCAGGCTGAACGATTCCAGTCTCTTACAATTCTCTATCTATTGATATCCTGCATCATTCCACAACAGGTCCTCTCAGCGGGCCTAACAATTTCCAAACTGTCCTAGAGCCTTCTTTGTATATTATACACAACAAATGCCCTTTACCAGTACCCTATTAGACTCACTATGGTACACTGTTACAACAGGCAGGTCACCAAATGGTCAAATGTTATGTTTGTAAACGAGAACATTAATTATATGGGGCACACATCATTTCCAGGGCTTTTCAACGTGCCTATCATGTTATAGCGATGGAATGTGATTTGACAGGTTTTTATCTGCGTCTTTGCCCCTGTAATGACCAGCGGTAATGACCAGTTTTACTGACAATATTAAGGCTATCTCCAGTCATCACCAGCCCAGCTATCCTAATCTTGTCAGCAGCGGAGACTTGATGCAGCCGGGGATGAAGCACCAATTATTGGAAAGGCTGATGGATCAATTGTGTTTAATAGCATGACAAATGTCAGGGAACCCTGTGTAAAAGACAAGTTTAACAGTATACTTTTACGCTGATAACTTAATCTGGTCCTGTCGTTGCTATTTCCTTTACTGTCCACGTGAAATGCAATATTAGAGGAAGTATTGGATGAGATGTTTAAAAGAAAGACAGAAAAATGAGAAAATGTCCATTTCCGGCTCAGGCTTCTCTCTCCAAATCTAACACAATTGGCGAAAATGAGGCCACCCGTTACACTAATTGTATTTCCCTCTTAAACCCTTCCTGAACCATTACTATTGAGCTTCCCTAAATCAATTAGTCTCTGCTCTTAACGAGGTTGATTTCATTAGAAATGTCATGAAATCTACCTCTTAGCATGCAAAGTGGAACAAAACAAGATTCTGCCAAGGAAAATTGTTTATAATACGACCCTGCAACTGATAAATACTGCTAACCACAGTCAACGATTATTTAATTGTTAGCTGTAGGATGAACTATTGGGTTAAAAACTTGGCCACATGTAATAAAATCAGCGACATTGCGGTTTATTGTTCCGAAAAATTGACACATAAAATGGGTCAATAAAACTTAATTGGATGTTGTAAAGGCCGAAACTAACGGCAATCTGATCCATCAACATTTATTTAAGATGACAGTCGTGCCCAAAAATCTCCTCAGAAATCTGAGTTAACGAAAGCTTGACTGGGGGAATGAAATCTAACCATCTCAGCATGAAATATGCCACATTCCTGTTCGGCTGTTAATACCCTGTATCTGGGATATAAAATAGATTCCACCTTAGGTTTCCTGATATCACTGATATTGCTTGTGACAGCTTTCAATTAATGGGACATGCCATTTTAAAATCACGAGGTAATTGTGTTACAGCATCCTCCTTATTTAATACAGCTACACAGACTCTTTGATGTTATCAGTGATGACAACATAAAGTATATCTTATTTTACTGAGAATTAATTTACCAGTTTCACATTATAACCCTCTGGTGAATTCTACTAAATGACTATTTTGATTCATAAGACGATCACTTTTAAATAAAAGATGTACATACAGCATTTAACAGACACTTTTAAACTCTGTATAGTACACATATTATAAATATAACAGATTTTTACACAATCCTGGAATTTCAAAAAGCTACCTACTGTAAAATAATTATGTTCCAAGAAGAGATAATTTTACGTTGTTCCATGAGTCAATCACAAATTCAAATACTTCACAAATAATTTGTCGGACACAACTAAATCAGTGATATTTTTTTAACAACATCCCGTATTTGAAAAAATTAAAAAAATTAAAAAAAAAAAAGGGTACTGGGTTGTAAATGCATTATATATATGCATACTTGCCAACTCTCCCTATTTTGGACCCTAAAACTGAGCATTTTCAACCACTGAAAGTAAAATTATTCCTATTTTCTAAGATCTGATTATTACATCTAAG